TATTCATACATTCATTTATTTAGCCAATTAGTCACTCATTAATACATGGTGCAGGAAATATTTCTCAGTTCCATGAGGCTTTTTCCAGCCTTCCACTGTGATTTTACAGCATGTAGGCTTGGCTTGCCATCCGTGTACTTGTATTTGCATTTTGAACGTGTTTCCTTCTAACTCTGAAACTATGGAAAGAAATCATATATAGGGAAATTTGAGAGGAATGAAAGGGAAAAGAACATAAACATAGAAAGAGCTCAATTTCTGTCACTCTTATTAGGCTGTTAGTCTCCAAGAGAGCCTTGGGATCCCAGACCGCCTGGGCTGTGAACTGGTCCTCTTCAATGACCATTTTTCATGCACGGATTATAAATAAACCCATTATTGCCTCATTAAAAATTGGCTTGTTAAAAATGGTAAAGTGGCTCATAGTCCCACTGGCCAAGAAAGGAAAAGGCAGAACTCATGGGCAGAAGGAACAGGGCTCAACGTGGCTCACTCCTTGTTCTTAACAAAGGCTGCTGTTTTCAAGAGGTTCCCAGGTTTGCAAAGTAGGAGGAAACAGCCCGGGGTCCCCCAAATTCCATCAATTCCTTTTATACCTTTTCTGAGACACTCGTGATGCTGAAAATGAGCAGAAATACCACGGTATGTTCTTATTTTCAGACAGTGATTTTCCAGGCAGAACCTCCATCAATTTCATCTGAATATATTTTCTCTGTCAAGTTTGTCTATTTTTGAAATTCCATATGTAATTTTCCATGGCTTAACAGAATATAAACCATTTGTCATGTCACATCACAATTTTTTTTTTGCATAGTCCTGTTACAGACTAAAGTTTGCTTTTATTTATTTTTTTCCTTTTTCTTTTTCTGTGCTAGTCATCTAAGAAATGAAACTGTCACCCAACAAAGCCAGGAATGGGACACAAATGCAGACACTCTTGCGACAACAGTGCAGATTTTGGGTGAGGTAACAGTGCCCTCTTCTGGCTACAATGAAGAATCAACTAAGAAGAGTGAACAATGCTGTGCAAATCTTTCTGTTTTGAAAAAGCTACTCTTTTGTTGTTGTTGTTGTTGTTGTTGTTGTTGTTGTTGTTGTTGTTGTTTTTGCCCTCAGAACTCTACATCTAAATGAGCAATGGGAAATGTAATCTGGGTCTGGCCGGTCTGCAATGGATGGCCAGTCTTACAATGATCCTCTGCCCTATATCTAGGTCATGTCTCCTTGACACAAACAGCAATTCCCAGTCATCCCAATGTTGCTGCCCCTTCTGCACACAATGCTAATATAAGTTGTTCTGAAAGCCGCTGGGTGTTAATGACAACTAGACCTTGATAGTTATATAGTCTCATCATGTACTAAGACTTTATATGCCCATTTTATTTAATTCTCACAACAACTCTAAAACACTAAATTCCCATTATGTGAAAACAGAACATAAGTGGTTTTTACCCCCACAAAATGTGAGTTCTTTTTTTTTTTTTTTTTTTTTTACAATAGTAACTGTAGTCTTTCAGGGAACATTTAATCACATGTGTGGGTCTCAATTCCTTCCTCCTTATAATTCATATTATACATATATAGCACAATTTCTCATATCTCTGATTGTATATAAAGTATATTCACACCATTCGTGTCTTCATACATGTACTTAAGGTAATGATATCCATCTCAGTCCACTATCTTTTTTACCCCGATGCCCTCTCCCTTCCCTCCCACCCCTCTGCCCTATCTAGAATTCATCTAATCCTCCCATGCTTCCCCTCCCAATCCCACTATGAATCAGCCTCTTTATATCAGAGAAAACATTCGGCATTTGTTTTGGGGGGATTGGCTAACTTCACTTAGCATTATATTCTCCAACTGCATCATTTCCCTGCAAACGACATGATTTTATTCTCTTTTATCACTGAGTAATATCCATTGTGTATATATGCCACATTTTCTTTATCCATTCATCTACTGAGGGGCATCTAGGTGGGTTCCACAGTTTAGCTATTGTGAATTGTGCCACTATAAATGTTGATGTGGCTGTGTCCCTGTAGTATGCTGTTTTTAAGTCCTTTGGGTATAGACCAAGGAGTGGGATAGCTGGGTCAAATGGTGGTTCCATTCCTGAGCTGAGTCCTTAACCATTGAACTACATTGCTTCCTCCATTTTCCCAATTAGCTAAGGTGCCTGCTTTTCTATCCTTTGGAATGCCAGCTTTGTATGCCTGGCACACACTCTGTGGGTTTACTAAAGAGAAGAAATGAATTACTTGGTTAATTTTGCTTCATGTTGACAGGTCTGATAAAGGTGTGACAAATGAGAAGCTGGAATTGATTGACTAAAATTATGTAGTTCTTTAAAAATCCATTTCTCCATTTCACCATTGTTGATTAAACATCTTACCAATTCTTTCAACCTGGCACACTGTACCCACTGGAGATTGGTACAACACTTCACAAGCAAATGAATGCCCTAATCAAGTTGCTCTCTTAAATTTAGTTCAGACCAACTTTCTTAACTATGGAATGAAACACCGTCTCCACAGTCATGATCAAGCTCCAAATAGAGAAACATCTTCTTCCCATGTCAGTGTCTGCTAGCCAAAGGCCCAGGGGAGTTCTGTGTGTCCTCCTGGAAAGAACTGGAGAGAACACGCAATGGAAAGTAAAGGAAGCTTTTAACTTTTGGGCTGTCTCCAGCAACTGTGACATTGTGTTTAAAACCCCAAGATACACAGATTATGCTAAAATTTGAAATCTTTTTATTGGACAATGGTTTACAGATGGGAGGGACATTGTCAGCAAGTTGGCATGGGCCTCCTTGAGCATGTTGTGGTGCTTTTCACTCCTTGAAGAATCAAACAGAGTAAAACTTCAATGGTCTAGAAGCCAACCCACTAGAATGATTAAGAAAACATGTTCCCTATACTCAACTTTCAGAAAACAGATGCTAAACACAAGAGAATATGTCCCTGTTGGACCTTTCTTTTAAAAGCAAATAATGTCTAGCTAAGCAACAAATCAATACGTACTATCTCAAGCTGGTAAATAAGAGTTAGCAGTAAGAGGGCAATGTTGATGTGAGATGAAGCTGAAGAACAAAAACAGAAACTGTTCCCCGTGGGCCCCTGCAGAATGGGCTGGAGCTGGGGAGGGGTCCTGTCCCTCTACTATTGTGCATCCACATGTATTTAGAACTTCAATTAATGTTAAGAATTTTTTAAAGTCATCTAAAAATATAAAGGTTATTTTTTTTTTCATGTAATAGAAAGTCAACAGGGAAACGGCTGCATCTCTTACAATGATCTAATGTTTGGGCCATTTGAAATAATTTTCTAAAAGCAATACAGGTTTCTCAGGCATTGAATACCATAACCACTCATAGAGAAATTCAGTTTCTAGAGTGCTTTTATGCTTTGTAACCCTCAAATAAACATGGAAAGGAAGCTAGTATCCTTATTGGGCTCCATTTTGCTAATGAGAAATGAGTTTGAGAAGTAAACATCTTGCCTAGAATCATGTATTTGCCAAGCAGTTTTGTTGCCAAGTGAACACAGACTTTGTTGGCCACCAGTAGCTTCCCTCCTTTGACACAGTGTCCACCCTAGCCCAGCACACACTAATAACACAATAAATACTTACGAAATGAGTAAGTGAATGGTTTAGCAAATGAATGGCTCTTTCCTCTTACCTCACAAGGAAGTATCAAAACTATGCTTATTGCTTTATGCTTGCTAAGGCAAGAAGACCTAATAATGCATTTTTAATACATGTTCAACTTGGACTGAACCCAAATGATTTGCCTTAAGTTATCTGGAAAACTGCATTTCCACATTTTTTGGCTTAATCAGAATTTCATTGATAGGATCACATTCAGAGACATCACTTAAAAAGAAAGTGTCCCCAAATCTCTAAACAAGAACAATCATTGATGAAAAAAAAAAAAAAAAACAATGCAAATAACTTGGTCTTCTTTGAAGCTGAGACAATTTCATGTATGAACTGACTGGCATCCCTGTGCCATTCCTCTCAAGATAAGAAGTCACCCAAAGAGCAAGTCAGAAGCAAGCTAATTTATTTCTTTTCCAGGTGATTAACTGGTCTATATTCCTTGGTTACTAGACATGATCAGACTTAGGCAATGGAAAGCACAGACTATCATCCACAGTAAGAAGTGGGCCCTTCATTCTAAAGTGCCAGAACGAATCCTCTTGGTCTGTGCTCAGTTCTACAGACAGCTACCTTATATATTCAAAATTCTTGTTTTGTCTAATACTTAACTCTGAGGTGAAGAGTCTACACAGAAACTAAACTGATGAATCTGTTTGTGTTAGAGTAATACACAGACATAGATCATCTATAAATAATAATGTCCATTTACAGTCACACCAGGCTTATAGTGTGTTGAATCCTCTCAACAAACTTCTGAGGTGAATACTGCCATTATCTCTATTTTGTTAAACCATTAAATTACTCATTTTATAAATATTTATTGTGTTACTACTGTGTGCTTTTGAACTTGCCCAGGAACCCAGAGTTAGCAAATTGCAGAATCCAGATGCGAGGCTCTCTTATTCAGAAGCTGTGTTCTCCTACTTTGGAGGCCTACTGATCCACTTGACCAGCAAGCAAGCAGCTCCTAGATACACCATACCATTTTACCTTCACAGATTTTCTTAGTCCATAGATACTAGTATTCTAGCAGCTCTCATGTTGGTGGACAATCCTCAAAAAAAAAAAAAAAGTCTTTTTTACATTGATAGAGGTATTAATAGTTGGATAGTACATAATTATGCTATAACTTTGTTGTTCTACAACAGAACTTACCTTCTATTATAAGCCCTTAATCTGCTGGCTTGGTGGAAACTTAATAATGGATTAAGGAGTTGAACAGACACTCCACAGAATAAAAAATACAATTGATCAACAAACATGAAAAAATGTTCAACATCTCTAGCAATTAGAGAAATATAAATCAAAACTACTGGCCTCCCCGCGCAGCCAAGGGCCCTGATGCTCAAGCTAGCAAGAGGGGGGAGCGGGCTGGCGGGGGCTGCGGCAGATAGGCGCTGGAGCCAGCGCGGCGTCAAGTGCAGCTCGGACCCACGGACCCGGCCCATTAACATTTCACTCATGAGGAAATTGAACCAAAAGGAGCTTAAGCGTCTTGCCCTGTATCCTGCAGCAAATAAGTAGCAGTGTCCGATTTTGCACCCCAGTCCGTTGTTCTGTTGATGCCAGGTTTTTGCCCTGCTGCGCTGCCTGGAGAGCATTTTATTTTCTTCCAGCTGCAACCAGTTGTCTTCAGCATGGGGGAGCAGAACCACTCTGCAGGGAAAGAGCTTCAGCACAGGACAGAGGCTCCAGCAAAGAAAAACTGGCACCCCCAAGCCTACACTCTTGGGGCCATTTCCAACTTTATGTCTACTTTTCTGACCTTTCCTATCTATAAGGTGGTATTCCGGCAGCAGATCCATGCTATGGCAGTGTCAGAGGCTGTGAGACAGCTTTGGCATGAAGGTCCTCAGTACTTCTACAGGGGAATCTACCCTCCTCTTCTCTCCAAGACATTGCAAGGGACTCTGCTATTCGGGACTTATGATAGCCTGCTGTGCTCTCTTTCCCCTGATGGGCCACATTCCCTGGGACACCGATGGACTGCAGGGCTCATGTCTGGGGTGGTGGAGGCTGTGGCACTCAGCCCCTTTGAAAGAGTTCAAAATGTCCTCCAGGATGGTCGCAAGCAAGCTCGTTTCCCCAGCACCTTCAGCATTCTTAAGGAATTCAACTCTTATGGGCTGTGGGGGCGGCTGTCACTGGGCTATTATCGGGGTTTCTGGCCTGTTCTTGTCAGGAATAGCCTGGGGAGTGCTCTCTATTTCTCTTTCAAGGACCCCATCCAGGATGGCTTGGCAGAGCAAGGCCTGCCCCATTGGGTTCCTGCACTGGTGTCTGGTAGTGTCAATGGAACAATCACCTGTTTAGTTCTGTATCCTCTGATTGTGCTGGTTGCCAATATGCAGTCCCATATTGGCTGGCAGAGAATGCCAAGCCTGTGGGCTTCTGCCCAGGATGTGTGGGACACTCGGGGTCGAAAGGTATTCCTGATCTACCGAGGAGGTTCCCTGGTTATCCTAAGGTCCAGCGTGACGTGGGGCCTCACTACTGCTATTCACGACTTCCTGCAGAGGAAGTCTCACTCCAGGAAAGAGCTGAAAGACTGACTAGCTGCAGGAAGTGTGGCCATGGCATCTTTGTTTTTCTCAATCTTCCATGGTTGCTCCTATCTAACTTACTTCTTTGGCTTGGTTGCCTAATGCAGCCATTTTTTAGCATCTGTCATTGCAGGAGTTCCCAACTACTAGCCTGTTGGGAACAGACAAAGCCCAACAGGAACTTTTGGTCAGAAAGGGAAAGTCCCTCCAGTCTATCCACAGCTTCAGTAGCCTCAGAGCCAGGAGGCCTTTAAATAACTTGTAACCTAGATTAAATGTCATTCTATTACGGGATTCCTTAATAAGAAGACAGTTCAGCAGATGAATTGATTCAGGCTTTCTGAGTTCTGGGACCACTCCAGGTGTCCTCCAGACCAAATTGAGATCTCCAATTTCAAAGAACTATTCTTGACATTGAAGATGGAGATTCCATGAACCTTCTCAGATTGTCACATTCACTGCCTCTACCCCAATCACTAACCCTTCTTCAGGCTATAGGGCCTAGTTTCAGGGTAGCAGCTGTGGCTGGAAATCTTAAATTTGGTTCGCTTCATCTCATCAGGTGCCACAAGATCTGGTAGGGCTAAAAATGGAAATGTGAAGAAATTTGGTTCCTGATGGAAATAATATAGATTTTGAAAGATGAGATTTAATTACATGCAAAATAGAAAAAAAAAATACAATGGGTTGCTTGGTGTTACCTGCTGGGACATTTTTGATATCAAGGTAACATGGCCTAGAAACTACTTGAGTTTCCCTAAGAAATCTGGAAGTGAAATCACTATATCTCTTCACAAATAATTATGTATTTTGTTGATGTGGATAGTTACTATGACATAAAGATCAGAAATTTTAGTCCTGTCATTCAGAGACATTAAAAATATGGTCTCACTATAACTTAAACATTAACACACTTCTCCCACTTACGTGGACCCCATAAGCCAGCAAAATGAATTACTGTTTCCTTCCCAAACATGCCATGAACTTAACCCATGGTCATACTTTGGCCCATGCTATTCCCTCTTTGCCTGCAGTTCTTCTTTTGGCCAGTCTGCCCAAATCCTTCTAGTTCTTCAAAGCCCAGCTCAGATACCACCTTCTGTATGGAGCTTCTTCTCCATTTCCCCTACCTGAATGTGACATTAGTATCTTATGATGCCCCTTTCCAACAGCACATCAATGTGGCACTATTTCCATAATGTCACTGATTTGGCTTCGTATTCTTGGTGTTCTTCAGTACCTCCTACTAGACTGTAAAACTTCTTGAAAGCAGGGATTCTTGTATATGAATTTTTAAATCCTCCATTGTGCCTAGGTGCTCAATAATGTTGGTGAATTATTGAATTGATTATCAAGCTGTGATATGGTCTATATCCTCAGGGTGCTGTCCCTTGTACATGAAGATAATGTTACTGACTCATTGTCAGCAAGATACATCCCTTTTGGGGTGTGTTTTGTTTTCTTTTAATAGTGGATTTAGTTTTGTGCTAATGATAATGATTTCAACAATGATGATGATAATAATAATAATAACACAAATGATGATGATGATAATAATCATAACAATAAATGACTTTCAATGGGAAAAAAATAAATAAACAAATAAAAACTACTCTAAGAATTCATCTCACTCCATCAGAATGGTGATTATCAAATGTTGGTGAGGATGTGAGGAAAAGGTTCACTCATACATTGCTGGTGAGACTGCAAATTGGTGTAACCACTCTGGAAAGCAGTATGGAGATTCCTCAAAAAACTTGAAATGGAACCACCATTTGATCCAACTATCCCACTCCTCCATTTATACCTAAAGGACTTAAAATTAGCATACTACAATGACACAGCCTCATCAATGTTTATAGCAGCTCAACTCACAATAGCTAAATTATGGTACGAACATAGATGTCCTTCAACAGATGAATGTATAAATAAAATTGAATATATATATATATATATTTTTTCCCAATGGAATATTAGCCCTAAAGAAGAATGAAATGATGGCATTTGCTGATAAATGGATGGAGCTAGAGAATATCATGCTAAGCCAGATAAACCAATCCCAAAGAACCAAGGCCAAATGTTTGATCTGATATGCAGATGCTAATTCACAATGAGGGAGCATAGCTGGGGGAAAATAAAGTTTCTTTGGATTAGGCAGAGGGGAGTGAAGTGAGGGAAGAGGGTATGGCGGGAAGAAAAGTAGTAGAATGAATCAGACTGTATAACCCTATGTACATATATGATTACATGATTGGCGTGATTCTACATTACTTACAACCAGAAGAATGAGAAGTTCTCCATTTATATATGATACGTCAAAGTACATTCTACTGTCATGTATAACTAATTAGAATAAAGAAAGAAAGAAGAAGTGTTACCTAAAAAGTTAGGAATAAATCTAGAATGCCTATTATTAACAATTACATTTGTCATTTCTGAACATGGTGCACATTAACAAATCTAATTGTTTCTTTTCCATTGGGTCAAAAATTATGTCATCATATCCTGTTGTAGCCTATTTTTTCCTCCAAATTTTTAAAGCCTCCTCTGTTCCTAGCCAATCTAGTAAAGGAGAGGGGACAAAAGGGAAAGAGGAAGGAGGAAAGGGAACATACTTGTCTCATGTACAAGAGTGTTCCCAACAGCCCTATTTATTTTAGCTCAAAACTAAACACAATCCAAATGTCCATCAATTATAGAACCAATACATAAATTGTGGTATATGCATTCAGTAGAAGACTATAAAGATATGAAAATGCACAAAAAAACTGTTACCCAAATCTCACAAATAGACTTTTATGAGAAGCCAGACCTCCCCCCCCCAAAAAAAAATCCATGGAGTTTGAAAAGGACAGAACTATCTATGGTGTTAAAGTCAATACAGTAGGCTATCATTCAGAGGGTAACCACTGAAAGGGACATGAGGAAGCTTCCAGAATACAAGTGGCATTCTATTTCTTAATGTAGGTGTTGGTCACATGGTTGTGTTCACTTTATGTAAATTCATTGAACTATCCACTTGACAATTTAAGTATGTGCTTTTCTGGCTATATGTTATCACTCAAAAAATGTTTAAATGTTTCATACGTAGAAGTATCAAAAATGATATGCTAACACAGAAATAAATCTGATTTAAAAAAAAATTGTGAGGGAAAAACAAAAAGATTCCATCTCTTGTTCCCCTCACCCCAACTTTTCCCCAGGGTTGTGTCAAAGTTCCAAAGTGATTGTGAGGAACCAAAAAAATCAGGGATAGAGGCCACCTATTGATAGCATTTCACATATGCCCACAACAGCATCACTGCTTCCCATCTCCAGCAGGTAACCACCTGATGCCTTGGTCACCCAACCTCCCTGCCCGTTAGAGTCCCCTGTGCCATCTGGCTGCTCTGTTCCCTGCTGGAAGCTCTTCTAGGTTGCAAAAGACCCTTTCTGCAGGAACACAGTACACAGCCTTCTTCCTCTGAGGTTTAGTCCCAGCCCCAGGGACCTACCCACATCTACACTAATGATGCAATGTCCCTTTTTATATCAGTCATTTTTGTAGGTTCTGTTCTGTTTTGTTTTGTTTTTAGCTGCAGGTAATTGAACCCAGGTCCTTGGGCTTGCTAGACAAGTGCTCTGCCCCTGAGCCCTCAATTGTTTTTAATGCCCTCTTTGCTTTACTGGAATGGAATTCATAGATATATAACCTGTCAGATATAACTTCAAGACTGAGTAAAATTCCTTAACCATAAAAAAGGAGAAACAAATGGAAAACTATAATAAAATTATATGCACTCAAATATGTGAATGCAGAAAAAGAGAGATAGAGAAAGACTGAATGCAGAAAAAAAAGAAGTGAATGTCCCAGCACAACTTCCCTAAAAGATGTTATAAAGGAATCTTATGGCCAGCATATAGACACGTTGAATATGCAAGTGGAGACTGAAACCAGGTGTTATACTGGCCATTCAAGTACCATGATTCACATTACATCAGTAAAGTTTTTATAAGATTTTTACAAAATGATGATCAGTTCTTGATAAAATTACAAAAGAAAGAAAGAAAGAAAGAAAGAAAGAAAGAAAGAAAGAAAGAAAGAAAGAAAGGAAGGAAGGAAGGAAGGAAGGAAAAGAAAAACCTAATAAAGAGCAGCTGTCACTCAGTTTATAGTCCCACTCCTGGATGACTTAGTGAATACTAAAACACTAGATGCTATGTGAAAACTATAAATGAAGTGGGCAACTTCTTCTGGGCAAGATGAATGTAATATTCCTTTCCTACCTGAAACAACTAACACCTGTCGAAGTATGTGAAAAACTGAATTACAAGCAAGAAAGGCCAAATTTACAGGCCAAGGAATCAGGACTTCCAATGATCTATTTGACAGGGCCACAATTAAAAAACATTCAATACATTTTTCTCCCTGTTTAAATATACAGATGTGAATTTGCATTGTACCAAGTGAAGCTTCTGTGGGAATTACTGTGATGGTGACATTGATGTTGTAGCTAATTTTGGCTAAATGTGATGCCTTCAATCCCTGATAAAGTTCCTGAAATTATAGGTCACAACTGTGACTGAGTTGCTTCTATTAAACTGGGTGAGATTATACATTAGGTTGACCTGAGAAGGATGAGAAGGCACAATGAAGACAACATAAGCTGAAACTCAACAATATGTACTTACCGAATGTCTACTGTGTGTCTGATTATGGTGATCAGTAAGACATTCCTTCAAAGAGCTCAGAAAATAGTAGGGTCATTTTCTAGTCTTTATATCCTAAACCAGTGATAAGCCTCTCCTCTACACACACACACACACACCCACATACACACTCACTCACTTCCCCTCCACACACACACACACACATGCCAAACATCTCAATTTCCAAACATCTAAAATATAAAGTGGAATTTAACCTATGGATGCCTGTTTGAGTGGCCCCTGGGTATAGACAGTCCACCCAGCCCTCCCTGGAAAGCTGCCCTCACTCCTTTGCCTCACTCAGGCACATGCACGTGGATCCAAAAGCAGCAGCTCACTTGAGTGTGAGAAGCCAACATGTCTCTGGCATGTAGCTCATTGAAAACCTTTGTTGCCAAGAGTTAGCAGGTGTTTCTTCACACCAGCACATCTCAAACTTTCCTATGCATACAAAACCCCTGGGGAACTTGTAAAGCTGTAGATTCTGTTGCAGGAGGACTTGGGTAGGGACAGAAATACTGCATTTCTAACAAGCTCCCATGTGCTCCTGGTCTACAGACAGCATCTGAGTATAGTGATCTTACAAGATACAGTATCACGGAAGCCAGCTGTAACCATAGAATCACACAAAGATATTTTCCTGAGTTAAATAAAGGGCTTTCAAACTCCTGGGACTATGACTCCTTGAAAAAGATGTAAACTTCATCTGTAAAGGAATCCTATATATTAATAGAAACATTGGTTACATTATAAAAATAACGGGCTCTCTGGGAAAGAGAAGAAAGGCTTCCGGGGTGGGGAAAGGTGATTTGTGAGCTGGGTATAAAAGAGAGGAGTTGAGTGGGAGGAGAGGAGGAAGGAACACAAAAGAATGTATCTCTGCAAGGTACACAAAGCATGAAGCCACAGGAGCCTCTGAAAAGTAAGACTAGAAAGACATAATGAAATATGTGTTTAGAAAGAACACTCTGACTA